TTTGTTTCTTTCCCTTGTCTGATTGCTCTGGCTAGGACTTCCAGTACTATGTTGAATAGAAGTGGTGAAAGTGGGCATCCTTGTCTTGTTCCAGTTCTCAGGGGCAATGCTCTCAACTTTCCCCTGTTCCATATAATATTGGCTGTGGGTTTGTCATAGATGGCTTTTATTACATTAAGGTATGTCCCTTCTATGCCAGCTTTACTGAGGGTTTTAATCATAAAGGGATGTTGGATTTTGTTGAATGCTTTTTCTGCATTTATTGAAGCGATCATGTGATTTTTGTTTTTGATTCTGTTTATGTGGTATATCACATTCATTGACTTACATATGTTAAACCATCCCTGCATCCCTGGTATGGAACCCACTTGATCATGGTGGATTATCTTTTTGATATGCTGTTGGATTTGGTTCACTAGTATTTTGTTGAGGATTTGTGCATCAGGGATATTGGTCTGTAGCTTTCTTGTTTTATGTCCTTCCCTGGTTTTGGTATTAGGGTGATACTGGCTTCACAAAATGATTTACGCAGGATTCCCTCTTTTTCTGTCTTTTGGAATAGTGTCAATAGGATTGGTACCAGTTCTTCTTTCAGTGTCTGATAGAGTTCAGCTGTGAATCCATCTGGTCCTGGACTGTTTTTTGTTGGCAATTTTTTTATTACCATTTCAATCTCGCTGCTTGTTATTGGTCTGTTCAGAGATTCTGTATCTTCCTGGTTTAATCTAGGAGAGTTGTATATTTTCAGGAATTTATCCATCTCCTCTAGGTTTTCTAGTTTATGCATGTAAAAGTGTTCATAGTAGCTTTAAATCTGTTGTATTTCTGTGGTATCAGTAGTAGTATCTCTTGTTTCATTTCTAATTTAGCTTATTTGGATCTACTCTCTTCTTTTCTTGGTTAATCTTGCTAATGGTCTACCAATTTTGTTTATCTTTTCAAAGAACCAGCTTTTGGTTTCATTCAGTCATTCGTTAGTTCATTTTTGAGACGGAGTCACGCTCTGTTGCCCAGCCTGGTGTGCAGTGGTGTGATCTCAGCTCACTGCAGCCTCCACCTCCCGGGTTCAAGAGATTCTCTTGCCTCAGCCTCCCAAGTAGCTGGGATTACAGGCGTGCACCACCATACCCTGCTAATTTTTGGTTTTTCAGTAGAGATGGGGTTTCACCATGTTACCCAGACTGGTCTCGAACTCCTGACCCCAAGTGATCCACCCACCTTGACCTCCCAAAGTGCTGAGATTACAGGCGTGAGCCACTGTGCCTGGCTTGTTTCATTTATCTTTTGTATTGTTTTGTGTGTGTGTGTGTTTCAGTTTCATTTAGTTCTGCTCTTCTGCTGGGTTTGTTATTTCTCTTCTGCTGGGTTTTGGCTTGAATTATTCTTGTTTCTCCAGTTCTGTGAGGTGTGACCTTAGGTTGTCTGTGCTCTTTCAGACTTTTTGATGCAGGCATTTAATGCTGTGAACTTTCCTCTTAGCACCGCTTTTTCCATATCCCAGAGGTTTTGATAGATTCTGTCACTATTATTCAGTTCAAATAATTTTTAAATTTCCATCTTGATTTCATTGTTGATCCAACCATCATTCAGGAGCAGATTATTTAATTTCCATGTATTTGCATGGTTTTGAGGGTTCCTTTTGGAGTTGATTTCCAATTTTATTCTAATGTGGTCTGATAGAGTACTTGATATAATTTTGGTTTTCTTAAATTTACTGAGACTTGTTTTGTGGCCTATCCTATGGCCATTTTACATTTCTATCAGCAGTGTATTAGGGTTCTAATTTCTTCACATCCTTGCCAACACTTGTTACTGTCTTTTTTATTATAGCCATCCTTGTGGGTGTGCAGTGGTGTCTCATTGTAGTTTTGATTTGCATTTCCCTAATAATGTTGAGCATCTTTCCATGTACTTATTGGACATTTATGTATCTTTGGAGGAATGTCTCTGCAGATCCTTTGCCCATTTTACAATATTATTTATCCTTTTATTATTGAGTTGTAAGAGGAATTCTTTATATATTTTATATATAGATCATGTATCATATATAATTTGCAAACATTTTCTCCCTTTCTGGGGGTTGACTTTCACTTTCTTGATGGTATTCTTCAAAGCACAAAAGTTTTACTTTTGATAATATTCAGTATATCTAGTTTTTCTTTCATAGCTTGGGCTTTTGATGTCATATCTAAAAAGTCATTGCCTAGGCTGGGTGCAGTGGCTCACGCCTGTAATCCCAGCACTTTGGGAGGTCGAGGCAGGTGGATCACGAGGTCAGGAGATGGAGACCATCCTGGCTAACCTGGTGAAACCCCATCTCTATGAAAAATACAAAAAATTAGCCAGGCGCGGTGGCGGGCGCCTGTAGTGCCAGCTACTCGGGAGGCTGAGGCAGGAGAATGGCATGAACCCGGGAGGCAGAGCTTGCAGTGAACCGAGGTAGCGCCACTGCAGTCCAGCCTGGGTGACAGAGCAAGAATCCATCTCAAAAAAAAAAAAGTCATTGCCTAATCCAAGATTATAAATCCTTCCCCCTATGTTTTCTTCTAAAAATGTTATAATTTCAGCTCCTATGTTTAAGTTATTGATTCATTCTGAATTGATTTGTCCATATGTTGTTTAATGATATCTTTTGAAAAGCAGAGGTTTGGCCGGGCTCAGTGGCTCACACCTGTAATGCTAGCACTTTGGGAGGCTGAGGCAGGTGGATCACCTGAGGTCAGGAGTTCAAGGCCAGCCTGGCCAAGATGGCGAAACCTCGTCTCTACTAAAAATACAAGAATAGCCAGGCATGGTGGCATGCACGCACCTGTAATCCCAGCTACTCTGGAGGCTGAGGCAGGAGAATCGGTTGACCCCAGGGGATGGAAGTTGCAGTGAGCCAAAATTGTGCCACTTCACTCCAGCCTGGGTGAAAAAGTGAAACTCCGTCTCAAAAAAAAGAAAAAGAAAAAGTTTAAAATTTCAATGAAAGCCAGTTTATCTGTTTTGTTTTGTTTTTACATATCATGGTTTGGGTGTTTTCTTAGAGAAGTTTTATAATTTTAGCCCTTATAGTTACTATGATCCATTTTAGTTTTAGCTCTTATAGTTACTATGATCCATTTTGATTTAGTTCATATTTATTTATATCATGGAAAGATCTCAGAAAGCATGCTAAGTGATTAAAGCAAATTGCAAAGTGATATGAGCAGTACAATATCATTCATGCAAAATTTAAAAGCATGAAATACCATTTATTATTCATAGCTATATATGCACATATAGGTTAAGTTTCACACCAAAATCTTTGATAATGGTTGCCTCTGAAGGGAGGAGAGGAAAGAACTGGAACAGGAAAGAACTGGTGGTCAAAGCAGTCTTCAGATTTATCTGCAATATTTTTAGGTTGAAATACATTTGACACGATATGAAGTTACCAATTTGGGGTGTTTAATTATGTTGTACTTTTTAGTTTTCTGTATTTTTTTAACTTCTTGAAATACACACACATACGTACACACACAACACACACATACACACACAAATGATTCAAAATAAGAACCACAGAAAACAATCCATTTCTGTTGAGTTTGGTGGCCACACGGTTGAAGCACTGCAGTGGGGTGTGGTGTATCCAGCCTGTCCACCTGTTCAGGGCCAATTCTGTTTGTATGTGGGGTTTCTGAGCTAGCTCCCCAGAAGGATAACTATCTTCATTTGAATTCACTCTCACACTTTGGCTTATATTTTTTCCAGTTTTGCTTCCACAGGAAACCCTAGTCCACCTGTCACACTCAGTTCATGTTGTGCTGAAGAGCTCCAGAGCCCACATCTCAGTGAGCGGCCCTGGATTCCTTTTCTCCTTTTATTTATTTTATCCCATTGCTCCAAACTTTCTCCACAACTATACCAGGGCCTCCCAAGGAAAGCTCAGTTTCTGTTTACTACGTGTCCTTTTCACCTCGTCCCTGCGGGATGGCCCCAGACAGCTCACTGTGTGTGTGCAGTGCGTGTGGCATGACTGGCCCGATGGCCCCGCTTGCAGCCTGCAGCCAAGCTCCCCATATGCTCAGAGCATGCCCTGGGGGAGTGGGGGCGCAGCCTGCAGAGTGCACACTGCCACCCTTGGAGTCAAGGGGTTCTTCCTGTGCCTCCCACTGGCAAGCTGTGTTGCCTGACACAATGCTTTCTTTTCCTTCTATAAAATGGATATGAAAATACACACCCTGGCTAGGTGTGGTGGCTCACACCTGTAATCCTAGCACTTTGGGGGGCCAAGGCAAGCAGATTGCCTGAACTCAGGAGTTAAAGACCAACCTGGGCAACATGTTGAAACTCCGTGTCTACTAAAAATACAAAAAATTAGCCCAGCATGGTGGTGCACGCCTGTAGTCCCAGCTACTCGGGAGGCTGAAGCAGGAGAATCTCTTGAACCTGGGAGGCGGAGGTTACAGTGAGCTGAGATTGCACCACTGCACTCCACCTGGGCAACAAAGCAAGACTCTGTCTCCAAAAAAGAAGCATATACATATATAAATATATACATACACACACACTCACACACACGTATGTCCTTTCCACTCACAGGTTGCCGGGGGTGAATGGGGTGGTCCAAATGAGAACGTGTACATGAATGTGTTTGCAAACAAAATGAAAGCTGTTTGCGTGTTACTTCCTGCCCTGCTAGCCAAGCCCTTCTAGAGCCCTGGCCCAGCTATACGCTCACTCTGTCTTCCTGAGAGTCCTCCACCACTCTGTGCCAGCCTCTTCTTTCCCTCCCATTCTTGGTCTCTTCTTATGATGTTCTTTCTTCCTGCCCTGCACGACCCCTTCCTTTTTTCCTTTTCTTCCTCTCTCCAGTCTTGGAAGCAGCCTGACTCCTTCCTTTCAAGTATGATCTTGTACCACTGAACTGAGGCCCGCTGGCTGGCTCCGGTTGACGGAGAAAAAGTACTTTCTTTCTTCCTCAAAGAGGTCAGGTACTTGAGATAACATATTTTCTCTCTTTGAATCTCCAGGCTCAGGCCACAGGGTCACCACATACATCGCCCACCCATGGAGGCGGCCGGCCGATGCCCATGCCAGTGCGCTCCACGTCTGCCGGCTCCACCCCCACCCACTGTCCGCAGGACTCACTGAGTGGAGTTGGGGGAGACGTGCAGGAGGCCTTTGCACAAGGTGAGTTTCTGGAGCAGAGTTCAGCAGGGAGCTGAAGGGATCTGCAAACATGGACAAGATTCCTGCTGAGGTTTTTCCATTTCTCTTTTGTGCTCTTGGCTTGAATGATCAGATTTTGACAGACAGTGTAAATAAGTCAGGTGCTGGCCCCTTCTCATGAGACTGGCTGGTCTCCAGCAGGAGGGCTGCAGGCTTCCGATGTGTGCCAAGAACAGGCCTCCTGGGGTTCTCTGCCCTTTTTTCTGGATTATGGGAAGTGCTCTGTCCTTTGAGCTTCGTCTCCTCCAGAGGAATTGGATGGAATAATTCCCTGGCCTAGAAGGGACTGTAACAGGCACTGTAACTGGGACCGTGCTGACAGCATAGTGTGCACGCCATTGCCACAGTCATCGGAGGAGCTGGTGACCAGCAGTATTAGGTAGTTGGGTGGGGATTCAGAGGGAAGTCCTGCTGGGGCTGGAGGTGAGAAGGGGAGGTGGTGGTGGTGGTTGTGGAGAGTAGAGCCCCGCCCCCACAAGGCTGAGGAAGACCTCGGTGGAATGCTTATTCTGGAACCCAGCTCTGGATTGTGTGGTGGTGGCAAAGCGTGGAACTGACAGGATGCTGCTCCCTAGGTAGAGAGGGCAGAGGGAGAGGGACCAGTGGGCTGGTGCCTCCTGCCCCCGGTGTGGCTGGGAGTGGGTGGAGCTGCTGCGGCCCCATCTCCCCTTAGGTATTCCACACCTGTGTCCTCTGGCCTGGCAGAATGGAGGTGTTTGCTCAGCCGTCTCTTCTCCATGCTCACCCCCCCGGCATCCCCATCTGCTCTGCCTCTCCTCAGGTACGAGGAGAAACCTCCGCAATGACCTGCTGGTGGCAGCTGACTCCATCACCAACACCATGTCATCCCTGGTGAAGGAGCTCCATTCAGGTGAAACCCAGAGCTCCCACCCGGCTTCCCGGCCTCCCCTGCCTCTCCCACGCCCTTCTCACTTCCTCGCCAGCTCTGGCAGAACCTCACCACCCAGCTCGCACCACCCCATTTCACCACCCAACTTCCCTTCTAGGAACACATTGGATGTCTCCACCCAGAGTTCCTCTGTCACACAGGATTGCATAGGGGCGGTTTCACATTCAGGCTATCTCAGGAGTGCGTCTTGTGGAGCAAGCTGAATTTGGAGAAATTCAGACCTTTCAGTGCAGGCAGGCCCCCTTCCTACTTACCCCGTCTTCTATCTGTGCTTTGTCCACAGCCGCTCTCTCCCTAGGCCTGACCGACCGCCTCATTCTGAAGCTTCCCTGGAAGTCTGGAGCCGAATCAGCCAGGAAAGCTCTGGACCTTCCCCTGCTGCCTTTCTGTTCTCTCCTGTTTGATTTGGTTTTGAAGCCTATTCCCTCCTTTTGTCCATGACCAGGCTCTGATTTCACCTGAAGTTCATGACCTGAGTCTGTCGCCTCTTCCACTCCTCGTGCTCAGCTCATCTGTGACTTCTTTCTCAGTCTCTCCATCACCTCGCCACATCAGTGACTTCCCAAAGACCTTTACCTTACATAAAACCCAGGAAAGAGAGAGAAAATAAAAGGCCATTCACATATCATCCTATCTCCGGGAATCCCCATGACTCTGCCAGTTACGTAGGGGCCAGAGAGTCACTCACGATTTCACAGCGGTGGGGTTTCCGTGTTTTCTGTTAAACTAATGGTTTCCCTTCCTAAGTGCTGTAGGTCACTCACACTGATGGTTCTCTTTTGTTTCTTTCCACCTAATGTAGTGCTTTTAAATACCTTGAAGTAGCTTAACAGGGCTATTAAATAAAAAGATAAAGCAGTTTAAAACTTCCACGGACCATTCAAACACATAGATTTATTCAAACACTCTTAGGGAAGGCAAGCCTTGGGTATTTTTCAGCCCTTCGTAGGAGAAAGCTCACATGTTTCGGGTTGTCATGGGACTGGACAGAGCCCCCAGTTCTGCTCTCAAGTCTGCCTGTTTTCATACAGACCAAAGTGAGTGTGTGGCCCAGGCTACTCTTTCCAGCCAGTGAAGGTCAGACGCTACTTCTCTGGTTTGATGGCGCCACCCTCTCCATTCTAGCACTGTTTCTCAACCCCCGTCAGAAGCACGGCCCCCCTCTGTACCCACGAACAGAAGAGGTGACAGCCTTTGGGATGACCTCACAGGTGATTAGAAGGCACTTTCCCTAATACAGCTCCCCACAGATGCCAGAAATCCCACTTTTAGAGGAAATTTCTTAGGGAATTTCGGGCCATGGAAATTAACTGCACTTGTACTTCATGGCCACTTATTAGAGTTTATGCAAAATAAGTGGCTTCTGCATTCATCGTGCTGGGGTGAGAGGTCATTAAATACCATTAAGCATAAGGCACATAGAGACCAAATAGCTTCACAAAAATTTAAAGGTTATAGGAATACTCAGCAGTGTCTCATAGTAGGAAAGAATGGTTTCAACAAAATTATGTAGTGTAATTTGGAAGGTGCCTTAGAGAGCACATTGTCCAGTCCCTTACTTTAGAAATGTTGCATGTGCTTATCAGAAAAGTTGTCTGCCTAAGGTCGTGCAGCTTGAAGGGGGAAAGCTGGTCCCAGAACTTGGGTCTTCAGAGCATTAAGCCAGAGATCTTACTCCCCTCCAGGACAAGACATCAAACCCAGCGTCCCAGAGGCCCCTTTCCCTGATGTTCTTTCAGTCACTGAAGCCTGCAGGTAGATGTGGACCAAAGCCACACATGGCATGGTATCCCTCTAACATGCAGACATAAACTCCCTTTACATGTGAGGGTACCAACTTCTCAATGAATAGAACAGCTTCGCCCAACACCAACACATTTTTACTATCTCCTTGACAGTGACTTGACAGGTTTTTGTTCCAATGAGAGGACGTACTTAGATTATCTTTACATATAGTCTGTACAGTATCTACATACTGTATGTACATAGCTTGTACTCCTCATCTTTATAAAGTTTTTTCACAGATAATGGAATCCTAGAATTGGAAAGGATCGAGGCCAGGCACAGTGGCTCACACCTGTAATCTCAGCACTTTGGTAGGCTGAGGCAGGTGGATCACCTGAGGTCAGGAGTTCAAGACCAGCCTGACCAACATGGTGAAACCCCATCTCTACTGAAAATACAAAATTAGCCGGACGTGGTGGTTCGTGCCTGTAATCCCAGCTACTCGGGAGGCTGAGGCAGGAAAATCACTTGAACCTGGGATGCAGAGGTTGCATGAGCCGAGATTGCGCCGCTGCACTCCAGCCTGGGCAACAAGAGCAAAACTCCATCTCAAAAAAAAAGAAAAAGAAAAAAATTGGAAAGGATGCTAGAAGTCATTTAATCTAACATGCCACCCACTAAAACAGTCCTCTGAATATTTCCAGTGAGCTCATTCATGATCAACTCTAATCACTGGAAAGTTCTTCCTCAGTGGGGAGCCAAAATCTGCCTTTCTGTAATTGACTTATCCCTGTCCTCCAAAGCCACCCAGGACAAGCTCAGTCCCTCCTCTGCAGGCTCACCTGTCACGGGTTGGATGGCAGATGATAGCCCTTCCTAGTGTTGTCCTCTGTAGACTGCTACACCCAATTCCTTCAACCTTTCCAAACGTGACATGGTTTTCTCTTACCAGCCTGCTTGACCACACCAGGATGTGGCCATTTTCCAAGGCTCCTATTCAAAGTGCATGCCCAGGGCTGGGCACCCTGCTGTCCATCACAGGGGATCTTGTCCCTGTAGAGTACAAGGCATCTGTGACCCTCTTGAGTGGCCCCTGGAAAAAGCACCTTAGACAGCATTAGCGCTTCCCACATAGCCACTTTGCGCTGTGCGGTCATTTTAAGTTTATCATCAGCTAAAACATCCGGATTTTTTTTTTTTTTTTTACAGAACCCCGTATTAATCTAGGTATTCCCCCACCATATATTGTATGGTCACTTTCTTAAACCTGAATGCAAGACATTAGATGTCTCCCTGGTCATCACCAGCTGAGGGCAGACAGGCATAGAACAGAGGCACGCAACCCCACACCGCACGCCCCCCGCCCCGGTCAGGAAAGTGAGTGATGTGACTGCACTGCTCCTTGTGGCTCTGGGCTCACGGGCTCCTATTCAACAGTGCTGGGGCGTGGACCACACAAGTGCAGACTGGTGAGCTGAAGCACCCTCGGAGGCCTGCAGCCAGGGGCTGTTAGCTAGAGTTTCCTCCCAAGCCTCAGCAGTTGCTTTGTTCACCCTCCTTCTGAACTTGTCCTGTGCTGAAGGGTCACTGGCCTCCCTGGACTTGTTTTCACAGCAGAGGAAGGTGCAGAGGAAGAAGAAGAGAAGATGCACAATGGGAAAGACAGAGGTAAAGGCAGCTCAACAGGACTCCTAGTTTAAATGGGGAGCCAGAGCTCATAGATGAACTGCCCCCCACCTTGTTTCTGCCTTCCTCCCTGCCACTACCTTTCCCAGAGCTTTCGGACCCGAGTTCCCTGTACCTACTTTTCCCATCTGACAGTCAGGTTTTACCTTCCAGGAGCCAATGTCAGTCAATCACCAAGAGCTTCATTTCCTGATCCTGGGATAGGTGGTTGGGATACAGGAAGTAGATACAAGTAGAACACAAAAGATGACCCTTTGACTGGAGAAGTTTATGATCTAGTTAAGAAAGCAAGACCAGGCCGGAGCACGGTGGCTCATGCCTGTAATCCCAGCACTTTGGGAGACTGAGCCGGGTAGATCATGAGGTTAGGAGTTCAAGACCAGCAGCCTGGCCAATATAGTGAAACCTCGTCTCTACTAAAAATACAAAAAATTAGCCAGGTGTGGTGGCAGGCGCCTGTAGTCTCAGCTACTTGGGGAGGATGAGGCAGGAGAATTGCTTGAATCCAGGAGACGGAGATTGCAGTGAGCCAAGATCGCGCCACTGCACTCCAGCCTGGGCAACAAGAGTAAAACTCCATCTCCAAAAAAATAAAAAAGCAAGACCAAAAATGCAAAATAAACAGGAGATCAAATGAAGTGACAGAAAAAGCTAATCATAAAACTTGCAGCATATAAGTATAATAAGGGTTTCTGAAAAGGAAGATACTATTGTGGGCCAGTATAGCCAAATGGTTTTGTGGCTTCGTGGAAGAATAAAAGCAAGAAGGGAAGGTGTCAGCAAAGGACAGTAGTGCATTCCTAGTTTCATTATATATCAAACCTGCTCAACACATGACATCTGGGAAGAGCTGCACGGAATGATTTTCACATATGATGATCTCATCTAATCCTTAACAACACTGTGAGACAAATTCGAATATCCCCGTTTTACCCATGAGGAAATAGGCTCAGAGAGCTGTTGTTCATGTAGCTGTTGAATGGCAGAGATTAGGCCGGGTGTGGTGGCTCACGCCTATAATCCCAGCACTTGGGGAGGCCGAGGTGGGTGGATCACTTGAGGCCAGGAATTCGAGACCAGCCTGGCCAACATGGTGAAACCCTGTCTCTACTAAAAATACAAAAATTAGCCAGGTGTGGTGGTGCATGCCTGTAATCGAAGCTACTCGGGAGACTGAGGCAGGAGAATCCCTTGAACTCAGGAGGCAGAGGTTGCAGTGAGCCAAGATCATGCGACAGCACTCCAGCCTGGGCAACAAAGAGAGACTTTGTCTCAAAAAAAAAAAAAAGCAGAGAACTGGGTCTTTCTGACTCCAAACTTCGTGCTCTTAATCTTCATCCTTCTATGTTATACTGAACAGAAAACAAAATTTTCTTTGGATATTTGAGGGTGAGCTGTCCTTCTGTCGCACATTAATGTGTTAGTTGCTGGATTCCTCCTAAACATCAGTTCCCCAAGGCAGAGATTTTAGTCTGTTTTGTTCATGTTGTGTTGCAGTGCCTGGTGCTTAGTAGGAGGTCAATAAATGAGCAAATCAAAGGAAATAAATGGGGTGATGAGATAGAGAGTTCCTTATCAGGGGAGAGAAATGCAGTGGCTGGTCACCCCGAGGTGAAGGTAGGGAGAGCAGGAAGGATGCGGAGGAGCCAGCAGCAGCCCTCCCAGGGTGGAATTCTGAAGAAGGCTCTGGGGAGTGAAAGAACCTGCAGGTGATAAATGGCACAGCCTGAGTTTAACTCTAATACCCATGCTTTAGTCTGAGCAGAACTGGTAGACTAAGGGAAGTGGAGTGGTCTTATTTAAGGAAGGATATAAGTCAAGTGGGAGCTACAGGTAAGGAAGCTGTGACAAGAAAGGGAAACCTATGGGACAGCAGGTCTGGAGTGTTCTTGGCCCATAGGGGCTAGTGTGGCTAAGAGAGAGAGGTCTTTGGAGTCTTAGGGGGCAAGGAATTTGTCAGCAAGGAACTGAAATTGCTGAGGAAGAAACTGGGAGAAGAGGAAGAACATTCTGCAGATTCTGAAATCATCTAGTGAGTCTGAGCTAGTCCTGGGAGGAAGTGGACAGCAGCACCACTGAGTTGATGAGAATGACGTATGTGGCATGGACGCCAAAAGGTCAGACTAGGCTGGCCATGGTGGCTCACGCCTGTAATCCCAGCACTTTGGGAGGCTGAGACAGGGGAGTCACTTGATGCCAGGAGTTCGAGACCAGCGTAAGCAACATAGCAAGACCCCATCTCTACAAAAAATAAAAGTAATTAGCCAGATGTGGTAGTGCACACCTGTAGTCCCAGCTGCTTGGGAGCCAGAGGCAGGATTGCTTCAGCCCAGGATGTAAGGCTGCAGTGAGCCATAGTCATGCCACTGCATTCCAGCCTGGGTGACAGAGCAAAGCCCTATCTCTAAGAAATAAAAATAAAAGGTCACATTAGAGAGAGTAGTGTTTCAGACATCTAGGAATGCTTCATAGAAATGTAGAAACAGTTGACTTCTGCACACACATACGAAAGAAGGCAGGAGGGCAAGAGGTGAAGAGATACACAGAGATAAATTTACACTGGTGTAAACACATGCTCCAAACACATGCACACACACACGCACATGCCAACCAAATCCCAGCATTCGTGTGGAATGTTCCTGGCTGAAGACGTAACAGCTGCATCTCTGGCCTCCCTTCACCTGCCCCTCCCTTCCCCAGTAGCTTTTTCCCATGGCCTCTCCTCAGTCCCTTTCACTCCCCCAAAGCAAACCTAGGACTCTGCCCCAGCCACTGAGGCCATGCCCTGGCCACGAACTCCAGCCCTTATCCTGGTTCCATTCTGAGTGTGGGCCGTGCCTCACATGGGAATCAGACCGTGTTTCCCTTGCCTGACCCTCCAGGCCCCAGGGTGCTGTCTCTGCACCTGCACTGCCCTGTCCTATCCTCATCAGACTGGGTTTCCCTTGCCCACTCCAGGCCCCCAGGTGCTGTCTCTGCACCTGCACTGCCCTGTCCTCATCAGACTGGGTTTCCCTTGCCCAGGCCTCCAGGCCCAGGTGCTGTCTCTGCCACCTGCTGCCCTGTCCGCCTCATCAGACTGGGTTTCCCTTGCCCAGGCCTCCAGGCCAGGAGTGCTGTCTCTGCACCTGCACTGCCCTGTCCTCATCGGGCTGGGTTTCCCTTGCCCAGGCCAGACTGGGTTTCCCTTGCCCAGGCCTCCAGGCCCCAGGGTGCTGTCTTTACACCTACACTGCCCTGTCCTCATCTCTTGTTTCTGTGCCTCTTGCCCTTAGAGCTCCTTGTCTGTCTTTCAATGCATATACTAGAATGTCTGTATGTCTATGTGAAATCTTTTTGTGGGAATGCCTGAATTTTATGTGACTTTCTGGTGTCATCCCTAAGGCCAAGAGTGTTAATAGCTGGGGTGAGAGATGGTAGAGATTTTTATGTTTGGCTCTCCACATTATATAGGTCCTATGATATGTCCCTGAAACTACAATGTAGCTGATACATAGGCATTTTTATAAGACTAAGTGTTTTTGTGGGTGGACCTCCTGATTCTCTGCCATGAGCTAGGCCTGAAATTTTACAGACCTAGAACTAACTGCAGTCACCTGGACACCAGAGATCTGTAACTGTCAACTGTAAAGAGAGAGAGAGAGTATATTTGCTTCTTTGGGATTGAAACCATGCTGACGTAATATAAACAGAATTTGGTCAGCACTGTCAGGCAAACAGTCTGCTCGATAGGGAAACTGAGAGTCAAATGGGACTTTTGAAGAATCTGGACCAAGCTGAACTTCCCTGCCATATTCACCCCTACCTCACGCCTCTCCCTGTTCGCCCCTGGCTGGCTGGCTGGCTGCATCCTGGGGAACGCTTCTGCTCCATTGGGGTACCCTTCCTCCTATGCATCTTCTCAGAGAAGTGTAACCAAGACACATAGAAGAAGCACAGACTGACACCTTCCCCCATAGTATGTCTTCTCCACCCTCCAGAGCCTCATGTTACGCTCCTGTGTCCTTCAGAATCTCCCCTCCCAGACCCTGCCATCCCGGTGTGGGGGCTGTAAATCCAGTTTGCATCCATAAAGAGCCCTGGTGCAAGGCTGGAGAGCAGTGGCCCTCAGAGAACAGAACAGGCTCAGGAGGGGCCAAGCAGTGCTCGAGCCCCGGGTGAGCAAGCTCATGGCTTTTCCAAGCAGACTATCTGCAGGAGGGGGACTGCCCTCACCCAAGGTGCAGTCCCTTGGGGAACTTTTAGAGCTGGGTAGGCTTTGCCCCCCTCTTGTAACTGCTCCCTGGATTTAAGGAGATTTGATTCCATTTTTAATGACTTTCCTTCTCCTGAGAAGCCTCTGTCTCCATGGCTGCCTTGGGTTGGCTATGGTAGTAGAAAGTATGACTCTACCCTGCTGTCATACCTGGGTGGGAAAAGTCAACATACAAGTAACAGGGGAGAAGCAAGGAAGCCCCTGGGGTGGGTGGTTCAGGGAAGCATAGTCTGGGGCATGAGGAGACCTGGCCGTGACCTCAGCGTGTTGTTTCTGCCTGTGCTGCCACAGGTTAGCAGAGGAGCCGGACACAGAGGAAGCTCAGGTGAGTACAGAGTCCTCTGCCTCCCCACGGCCCCTCCCTCCTTCCTCAACATCTTCCCTTCCCCTCCCTTTCTGCAGTCACAGGTCCCAAGCCAGGACAGTCCTAACAGGTGAAGATGCAAGAGCCTGACTGTCCCTTCCCTTTGCCCACCCTGGCCATGTGCCCTCCTTGCCCTATTTCTAGGCCCTGTCCTGTCTTGCACGGCACTGTCTGCATGGCTGGTCCTTGGGCATGGCCTGGTGACCTCTGTGTTGGAATGGCGTTGGCAGACCCAACACCGTTGGCTGAAACAGGGCGTGCTGAGCAAGGCCACCTCCCTGGGGAGCACTGCCTCCCATGCTCCTTTACCACAGCCACTGCTCACTTCCTTCCTGGGATCCAAACCACAGCCACTGCGTCCCTGGATTCTGTCACCCAGCACTGCACCGAGTCACAGTCCCTAACCCACAGACATGTGATTCATGCAGGATCACACTACATACAGGGCTGACCAAGCCGCTACCCATGGTGCCCGGCCAAGCTGCAGCTTCTCACTTCCTGAAGAAGCAGTGCAGAAAAGTACAGACTGCTCCAGTGGCAGATGCTCATTGCCTTTAGGAATTAGTCATTCCCATTTTCCATCTCAACACCTTAACTCTTTCTAGTCCCAGCGCCAAGATATCAGACTTCTCCTTTTTAAAATCTTTTCCCTCCCCCTTCCCCCACTTCTTATATTTAAAAATTAGGCATCTTCCTCAGGTGAAAAAGCCAGGGCCCTGGCCCCACAATCCAGAAAAGGAGTTTTTTCAGACCTTCCCAAGTCTTGTCATCCTGGAATAGCTTCTGGCCCTCTCAGCCCAACTGCGCCAGGCCATTGAAGGGCTCTGCCCGTTCCCCTGGGGCCCCTGCAGCCTCAGCCTGCGCTGACTCTGGATTGTGCAAGCTGAGAGGTGGGCAGCACCTGGGCCACGCGCATTCTCTCGCTGCCCTGGAAATCACAGTGCCCCAGGGGCTTGGAGAGACGCTTCTCCCTAAACTCACTGTGCACATTCAGGCAAGGCCCTTTCCCAAGCAAGCCTAGGCTGTGGCAGCCGAGGAGGGAAATCAGGAACTGACTCGCCCTGCAGGAGCCTGCCAGAGCCCCTCTCTCCCCCGGGCAGAAGGAACTGGGGTGCAAGGAAACGTGGCAGAGCCATGTGCCCCACCGCCTTGTTGCACATGGAGGAAACCAAAGCCCCACACCAGAAGCTGTAGCCAGAAGCAGAATTGGAGCCGGTTTTTCTGCCTCCTAATCGTGCCCTCTCTGACCCACATCAGGGGTGATGAGAAACACCAACAGTCGGGAGTTAAACTAAAAGCAACTTGGGCGCCGCGGTTCCATGGATGCCCGGGCCTGCGGTCTGATGGCCTGGGGCTGAGGCTTCCTCCCTTTCCTCTTAGTATTCATCAGCACACCTCACTCCTCCCTGCCCTTCTCCTGGACCACAGTTCTCCCCAAGAAAGCACCCCATTCCAAACCTTGCATTGTGAACCCAGTTCTCCACGGAAACACTTCCTGACTCTTAGGAATGGTGGCAGAGGACCCTAGGTACCACCCTTCAGCTCAGCGCTTGAAAGGCGCCCAGCATCCTAGCAGCCCCTCCCCGCAGGGCCTCCTGTTCGCAGTAGATATTAGCAGCTTTTGTCCTGAACCCTCAGCAGTGCCCGTGACTAACGGTGTGTGTGTCTTGCGCAGGCACAGAGGACGAGGAGCAAGCTGGCGCCGACATGGCGAAGGCAAGGTCTTCCCCCAGAGGCACATTCCTCTCCATCTTTCCACCGCACACCTGGACCAGGCTTGCAGGCTGCCAGACGTCACTCCACCCGCCAGGGAGAGGGGAGCCAGAGCCGGTGGGAAGCGGGGAGGGGCTGCGTGACACAGCTGGTGGGCCTCCCCCTGCACAGCCCTGCATGTACTAGCACCTTCATCACTCCCCTCAGGGCATGGTCTCATCTCTGCATCAGGAATTTACCTGGAGGTTGAAAAGAGAAAAGAAAAAGCACCAAGCTCTTGTGTGTTTGTGACCTGATGGAACTCTGCCTGGCGTCTGGCCAGCACGTGGGGTGTTCCCAAACGTGGGGGCACAAGTTTCCTTATCTTTGACCTTTAAGAACCAACAGGTTTCTTCTAGCGTGCAAAGAAAGCGTCAGGCCTTGCTCGGCTCTGTAGACATTCACACCCTGGCCACGGTGCTAAAAATAGCCTCATACTGGTTAGGCTTCCGCCCGCCCCGTGTGATGCCGCCGCCTGCAACCCGGGAGGGAGGGGCGGAGATCGCGCCGCGCGCCGCTGCCGGGCCGCCCGGCCGCCTGGCAGAGGGCGGGAGGGACTCTGCGCCGCGGACTCCGTGGCCGCCAGGGGGCGCGCCGCCGGGGGCGCTGCTCGCAGCCTTTCGCCTTAGGGGTCCATTGGGCTCGGGTACACGTGATCAAGTCCCGTTCCCGGTGATTTTCATTTATTTTTTCATCCTCCCTGGGCTCCAGGATGTTATTTTTAGCAGAAGAACTGCTATAAATATTTATAAAGGGCAGTGACTGTAATGAAGCGAGAAGCCCCACAGCTGGCTCCCTGGCATCCCCCACCCACCTCTGCAGACCCCTGACCTTGGCTTTGAGGAGGTCTGTGCAGAGCCGGTGGGATCAACTCCTGGCCGCGCACGGATGGAGTCCCAGGGAAGCCTGCCAAGGCCCAGTCAGGGTAAAATAGAAGGGGTGGGTATTCACTCCTTCCATCCTTTCCTCTCTGTCTCTTCTCCCCCATAGCTCATCTTCCCATTGGTTGGCACTGTGTCCCCCCGAATTTTCCACGGGGTTCCGCTCACCGTGGCCCCTCTCTGGCCTTCCAGGCAAGCAGGGATCCCTGTTTCCAAGGGCATGGGGCCCTCTCCTCTGCCCAAGCCCCTGCTGACTCTCTGTCCTCAGCTCTGAGGCCAGCACTCAGGTACTGGGTGCACTCTGGTGATGCTGGTTCTTGCTAAGGTTGATGTCTTGTAGAGCTAGAATATCTGCCATTACCTAAGCCCCGAGCTCCCTCATAACTGTTGGCGTCTGCTTTAGGACCCACATCCCTGTCAGACGTTTGGAACTGGGTCCCTTTCCTCAACCCTGGCGAGGAACACAGATGGTCATCACAGAAGGAAGATGGGCACTTCCATCTTAATTGCTCTGGGACCACTGAGCAGCCTAATTTAACCTAGGTAGACGGTCTTTTGAGAGACTGCGGCATCACTGACTCCTGGGTGAGCCAGGCTGCCATGCAGCAGCACCATAGCCTGGCTGGCACTGTTTTTCTGTGCCGGAGGACCCCTGGAGGGCTACCTAATACATCGTGGGTCTTGAGGAAGCAACAGCTCCACCAAGTTCTTGTCCATAAGTCCCAGCCATCCTGAGCCTCCTCTTCCCTTCGTGGCCCCTCTCCTCTGCTGGTGAGGCTTCATCCACTGGCAGACGCGCCCCTCTTCACTCTGCTTACTGTGCTCCTGCAGCCCATAAGCGCTTCGGAGGGGTGCAGTTGCTATGGCAATGCCTACAGCCATCTGAATTCCTGCTGCACCTTCTGGAAGAAGAGAGCTCATGAAGAGGCATTCGGTGAATTCCCAGTCTGGCCTCTGGCCTCTGCACTGCCAGGGCTCAGCTGATGGGTTCCATGCGGGACATGTGGGAGGTCAGTAGCCCGCCTTCCTTGGGAAGACACTCTGTAGCTGCAAGCCTCATGCGCCTGGACAGGTTCTCCTTGTGTGGATCAGAAAACTAAATGAAGTGTCCTTCTCAGGGCTCCTAGGTAATATACTGCACCAGTGGTTCTCAGACTTCAGCGTGCCCGTGAATCCCCTGGAGGGCTTGTTAAAATATGGATAGAGTCTCTGATTCAGCAGGTCTTGGGTAGAACCAGAGAATTTGCACTTAACAAGCTTGCAGGTGATGGTGGTGCTGTTGGTCCAAAGACCACACTGTGAGATTCACGGGATGACACTTAGATGAAGAAGAAAACAAAGCAGTGCGGGAAGACATTGCCTGTCAGTGAAGAAAGGCCAGAGTCAGCCACCTATTTTAAAGGAAGAAAGGGCCCTGGGGATGTGTGCTGGAACTAGGATCCCTAGTCTAAGTTGGTTTTGGTCCCCAGCAATCAATAAAGACTCTCCCAGATGTGAAGCGGGGCAGCATTGAGGCAAGGCCTGTAAGTTACAGAAGACCAACATCGTGGAGGCCCAGTGACTGAGGGGGTTACTTCTCAGTCTAGAGTTTCAGTGGTAGGGGTGCTGAAGGCCTGCCTGGCTCAGGAGGGATGTCAGGGGAGAGGGGGTGCTACAGGCATCTAACCCCCACAGCCAGAGCCTCAACACCAAGATGCTTTCTCCAGGATGCAAATACCATCTTCCACATGAAACAACATCCAGGCCCAGATGGGCTGCTTCAGCCTCCCCGAAGCTCTGTCTCCCATGGGCGTTATTCTTTTCAGAGGGAAAATGATTACTAGAGAACCTAGTAATTCGATGTTACAGGCCTCCCCAGTTAAAGTAGCAGATCCCAGGGACTCTGATGCCTTCTCTGCAGTTAACCTCGCTTGGGAAGCCGAACTCTGTAGGTAGCGAGCTTGGAGTCTCTCCTGCCTCCTGCACAGGCATGTCTGCAAACAGGTGGAGGACACTGCCTCCATCTTCCCTCTGCCTCCTACTTCCAAGGGTGGACAGCTGGAGTAGGACCATGGCATAAAAGAAATGGGCATCAAATCCTTTCACCAGTTCCAGAAAGCAATATGAGTCTACTAGTTCTGTGACAGTTTGAATGGATTGTGAGTGCTTTCATGTGGAAAATTTAAAATATCTAAGGGAGGTCATGAGAACTAGAACTTGCTGGGAATGGAGGTGGGAGGCAGGTGTTGAAGACACAAACACCAGGTAGCCATCCTTGTATTTCTGAACAAATGGAGCCTATCGTTGATAAAGGTGAAGATTCAGAAGGGACTCACAGGCTAGAGGTGAAATTGTTTATTCAGGAAGATTCTTCACGGGCATCAACTGTGTGCTGGGCACGAAGCCCCTTCCTCAGGCCTTCAGGCCTCACTGGCTCCAGGGTCTTAGAGCTTAAGGTTGGAATCTGGTCTCAGTTCACAACTGTACAGTGAAGGGTGCAATTGGAGGAACCGGCTGCCCTATGAACACACCAGACTCAGGACAGTGGGTGCAAAGTGAGGCCACCCAGGGGAGGAAAAGGCTGTGGTCCCTACTCAGAATCTGTTCTAGGTGCTGAGAAGGATGGGTCCTTGGGCTCATGGGTGGGAGGGGAGACTGGGAAGAGTGGGACCTGAGGAACCCAGGGGTGTGTCCTTGAGTTCAGGAGTCACGGCGAACATACAGAGACCTCACAGCCCCCTGGGACCCAGCTCACTGCTGCCTCGGAAAGAGTCCGTTACCACGCAGTCAGTGATGGGCTGGGTCAGCCCCAGCAAGTCCTCAACCAGGTGGCAGAAACACCTGTCCGAAGCTTGGCCTACAGCAATGGCCACACTCCCAGGCAGAGTTCATAGGCCTGAAGCCACGGGTAGTGGCACAAGCAGATAATCTCACCCCATCTTGGTGAGGGGCACAGAGAGTCCTCAGAGCACAAGCGTGGCCATGGGCACACCCTGGTGGGGCCCCTGGCTTGGACAATGCAGGCCACAGGTGCTGCTGTTCTCCCCAGGAGAGCAGCCGGTGCTGGAGCCCTGGAAAGCAAGGCCTTTGACTCAGCGCCTGACTCAGGACTGGGGCAGCTGGCCGCCCTGCCCCCCGCCTTCCGGCCTGAAGGGCACCTGTACCCATCAGGCTTTTTGTTCAGGCCTCAGCGTGAGCCACGCTGTCTCCACCACCATGGTATGTCCCAAAACCTTAGTCACTTTGTCTCTTTCCCTCCCTGCCTGGAAATGCCTCCTGTGCCAGGCACCCATGGCCCTCACTGAGGAGGTTCAGCCTGGGCCCCACATCTGAAGCATCTGGAAGTCCTCCCCACAGCTTCTCCCAATCCCAAGCCTCTTCCTTTCCTTTCCATCAGAGAAGGCCCCATGGTTCCTCCTTCCTCCTCCACAAAACCTATTGGCCATGGGTGCCGACAAGAAGCAGCATGTCCTCTGCTTCCCAGCCAGAAACAGCAGGGAGCTGCCCTGGTGAGGACCCTGCCCTCCTTGGCCTTGCTCGTGTGCCTTCTTAGGGCTGCCCTGATGGGCTGGTCTTTTGGAAGAAGGAATATGCCCTGGGCCTGCTGAGAAGGAGGCCACGCAGCGAGGAGGCAGGCCGCCCAGGAATCGCTCTGGCCCAAGGGCCTTGCGCAAATGTCGGCTGTGAGGGAGCCAGGCAGGAGCTCCTGCAGAGACGCTGGAGCTTCCTTCTGGACCAGCTTCTGGGGATGAGCCAGGATGGGGACAGTGGGGCTGAGGGTTAGCAAGGAGGTCTCCAGGCTGGGCTGGGACGCAGTCCCCTCCTCCCTGGGCTTCCCTTTTCTCCTGATTGCTGGTTGGTGTTTGTCCTACTTTCCTCATTGCCTAGGCAACCATTCCGGGTTCACCCTTTGCCACCCAGCCTACCCCGGGAGCCCAGAGCCTAGCTCTTCCCACTCCCGGAGGAGGAGAACAAAGAAACGAGGCATACCGAGAACAGCAGGGTGACGCCAGGGACACGTGGGCTGAAGAACCAGGGGCAAGGAGAGGGAAAGAGAACGAAAGGGATGGGAAGAGAGGCAGAGCTGGAGCTGAGGGGGAGCCATGGACACTGGGATACGGTGGCCGCACGGCAGGTCTGAGGCCAGGGAAGGCGGAGGAAGGAAGCCAGGAAGGGCCCTGGGGTAGAAAAGCTGGGAAGGAGGCCGAGTTGAGGTGGACTCTCCGAGTCGCATCCTGAGCTTGTGGGAATCGTTCCTTTGTCCCGTTGTTTCCACAGCTCATTAGCCCTGGATTTTACCCTAATTAGATCCCCACTTGCTTTCCACCAGGATATCCCATTAGCCAGGGCCAGGGCTACAGATGGCCTTCCGCT